CCCCGCGCGGCCGCCCCCCCCCCCCCGCGGGGCGCCCCCCCCCCCCCCCCCCCCCCCCCGCCGCTGAAATAGGCCCGGGCGCCGCGGCCTCCCCGCCTCCGGGCCCGGGCCCGCCCCGGGACGGCAGCGCCGAGAGGGGCCGGGGCTCCGCGCCTGCTCTCATCTGGGCGGGCTGGGGGGGGACAAGCTGGGCTGTGGGTCGTGGGGAGTGGGGGGAAGGCCGCGGTGTGTCCGTGTGTCCCAGCTCCGGCAGAGGTGGGGCATGCCTCAGGCTGTGAAAGGCGGTGTCCGCCCTGAGGGCCATGACAAGGAGATGGGCGCTCACCCAGCTCGCAAGGATGGCCTCCTCCCCAGAGGGTGTCCTCCCCAAAGGGCATCCTCTCCTGCAAAGGGCACCTTCCTCCCCAAAGGGCATCTTCCTCACTGAAAGGCATCCCTCACCCCAACAGATATCCTTCACTGCAAAGGGAGTACTCCTCTCCAAAGGCCATCCTCTTCCCCAAAGCCCATCTGCCTCCCCAAAGGGCATCCTTCCCCCCAAAAGGCTGCCTGCTGCCCACAGCCCCTGCCCCACTACCCAGCCCCAGGCCTCGGAGAAGTCCCCTGCAGAGAGCGGCAGGCCAGCGGGTTTGGTCCTGGGTGTTCCTTCAGGCGAGCGCCTTGCAGCTGTGGAGGATGCGGGCTGTTGTCCACCCTGGGTTTTAGCGGTGCAAAGTGACTCAGAGTTTCCGCAGCAGCCACACGTCAGGGCCAGGAAACCACATGGCGCCAGTCCTGCACGGGGTGTGGACCCCGAAAACCTGTGCCTCCTTCAAGACCCTTTGTCTTGAAGGGTCTTGAGAGCTTGAGCAGCTCTCAGCAAACAGTGCAGAAAATTCCCCCCGAAGATGGAAGCTTTAATGACATGCAAAATCGTGCACATCCAACAACCAGACTGTTTGCAGGGGACGGGCGCTGTTGAAGGGTAGAGATGTCTCCACCGAACCGTGAGCCCCTGAGTGCAGCCCAGTGCGTGGCTGAGTGTGCAGGGACATGGTGCTTGTTCCGCTGTCTCTCCAGATTCAAAATGTGCATGCTTTCACATCCTCAAAGTTATATATGTAATCAAGAAGGCTAAAGGACTTACTAATGAGTAAATATACCCTCATTTAAAAAAAAAAAAAAGTTATCTAAAAAATAACCCCTTTCAGGGGAACAATAAATGTGTGTGGTACTATGTTGGCTATGAAAATGATGCACTAGCTTAACTATGGATATAAATTTAATATAATTTTGTTAAACCAGTAGAAATCTCCATGTAGATACTCTTATTACTGATTTAAACAGCACGGCTTTAACTCACTTATGAGCTAAACTAGGTTTAAACTAGAAGTGTCCTAATTCTTTTTATTGATTTAAATCAGGAGATTAGGAATTACATCAGTACATTTTAACTGCTTTAAGTAATATGTTATTTTATGACTCTCACTTTGCTTTTACACCATCTTCTCAACCTTTTGGGGAAAGATTAATTTGTCATTTTGTTGCTGATTCTTAGAACAACCAGCTAATAGATGCTCTTACTCAGGCTGACAAAGAGATAGAAACATATTGCATTTGTTTTGGAACAGTCTTTTAAGGATCCTGTAGCAGTGACTTGGTAGGAAAAGCAGAATTTCCTCCATGTTACAGACAAGAAAATAAATGCTGTTTCAGTTCACTAAGACTGTGTTGTCCGATAGTGTTGTTATGGGCATTAAAAAAAAGAGCTCTAATTTTTTTTTCTAAAGACAGCTACATTTTGCTGGACGTGCCATACGAGTGCATGTGCCTTGCCATTCCTGATCAAGCCTGTCTAATGAGATGTAGCTGCACAGCATCATCCTGTCTCCTTTCTTTACCAACGAGATTTTTTTTGGCTCCACACTTTCCGAAAGCAACCCAAAAGCTCCTACTGACCTTAGGAAATTGTCTGTGTTACAGTTCTTCACATTTTGTATGCAGAAGCAGAAAAGGTCCGTGGTATCTTCGTCTCGTCCCCATGATGCTGGTTAGGTGATCCTGCCTCTTTGCATTTGTACTGGGCTTTGAACCTCAATTTTCAGTTTCAGTTTGTAGCCACTGCAGGCCGTCACCGCACAAAAACATATGAGTTTCTCTTTAATTGCCTTTGAGTCACAATAGATTATTGCAAATAAGGTGTATTTTACATAATGGAGATGTAAAATTGTCGCTGAGACCAGGCAGATGTGGTTTAAGTTCAGTCTGGCCTGTTGACTTCACTCCAATTCTGCTCTTGAGCTGCAGTTTATTTTGCCTGTTTGAGCAAGGTAAAAACTACCTGTGCCTTGTCTCCAACAGTAATTATGAGTTAATTACTTCCATGGAAAAAAACTTCCCCAGCTCACAAGCACTGACATACCTGGGTTTGTCAGTGAAATACAGCCTTAAATTAGTACCAGTCTGTGTGTGAGACACATGGGACATCTTCTGTGTTTGGTGACAGACTTGTCCTTTATCGTTACACTCAGGTAAGCTGTTACCTGCTCTCTTGAAGCCAAAATGAATGAAATCTCTTATCAGATCTCCCTACACTGTGTTTTATCAGTGTTTTACAAAACTCCTCAGACTGAGGGCAAAGTCACACAAGAAGGAGCCAAGTCAATATGGTGGTTTGTTGTCCCCAAGGGGAGTGGTTGGGCTAGTAACCTCCCGATAGCTATAGTATGCACTGGTCTCTTTTGTAAGGTAATTGAAGTCGCTATCTTGGGGGGGGGGGAAACCCTCAAAAATAAACAGTCAAAATCCTCTAGAAAGTGATAAGCTTTTTGCTGGGTTTGTGAGTAGAATCAGCTCAGCAAAGGATCCAGCAGTCACCAGAGCTAGCTCAGGGACTGGCACAGCCAGCAGCAATTGCATGGGGAAAAACGGAGATTTTCCTTTGGCGACAACAGATGTGAAGATTAGTCGTTGAATGCTCATAATCAGAATTTTGGCAAATAATGCCAAATAAAGCATTTATTTCTAGCCTGTTCCGATCCTGGCCACTTTGACCTGTCACTGCCTGTACAAGTAGAAGTGTTGTGTGACTATGGTGAAATGATACGAAGAAATGATCTGGCTGAAAATAATTTTGGGAGCAAAAACCCCAGGGGTGGTTGTTATTCAGCCAGGTCAGTTCCCCAGTCTGGGAGCTAACCATGACCCGAGTGGTAATGAGCCATCCACAACTTTAAAGGAGAGAACACAAAGATTACGTGCCTGGAGTGCTTCACAAAAAGCTAATTTTAGGGAAAGCTGAGCTGAAAAAAGTATCCTTGTGCACAAAAGCTATCCACTTATTTCAGCTGTATCTGTCTAACAAAAAAATACCTCCTTACAAACCCTGCTGCACTTTTATCGGTGTATCATCACCCCTACCGCTGATGAAGCTGTTAGCACAGTATAATGGAACTAATTTTAAAAAATACAGAACCTAATCATAACTGAAGACTGCCTTTTCCTTTGCCTGTTTTAGAAAGGTGCAAGAATACGAGCATTTTTATGGTCCTGTGTAGGCTCTGAAATTAACTCCTTACTGAGACAGTTGTTGCTGTTCTGCAGATGGCTCTCTGCAAGAGCAGTGTCCTAATTACGTGCCTTTAAAAAATGAAGAGCTGTACTCAAAGACTTATTCTTCAGAGCATTAATTCATACATGATCATTATCTCACTATAAAATTTGACCATTTTTTTTACTGCAGGGTACTTAAGCCAGCTTAGCACTATATGCTTTTATGCATGATTGAACTTACCCTGTTTCCTTTGCAGTAAAACTGCAGAGCCTTGCTTCTGGAGGTTTTTAGGAGGGGGGAGGCTAATATGTGTTCATTTGTTGCACCTGTAAACTTGGGTTTTTTTAAGGGAAGACATTTGCTGTATGGAACAATTCAAACAGTTGCTAGCAATTATGGGAATTCATTTTGTGAACAGAATGAGCAGGGTGGTTTCTCATGTGTGTATGTACAACACTTTGTCTGGGAGATCTACATTCACAACTGAAGCTTCTAGCTGTCTGGGAAAGAACTACTGTTTTTCAGAAAGTATAGAATCATAGAATCGTTAAGGTTGGAACAGACCCTTAAGATCATCGAGTCCAACCGTTAACCCAGGACTGCCAAGTCCACCACTAAACCATGTCCCCAAGCACCACATCTACCCGTCTTTTAAATACCTCCAGGGATGGGGACTCCACCACTTCCCTGGGCAGCCTGTGCCAGTGCCTGACTACCCTTTCAGTGAAGAAGTTTTTCCTAATATCCAACCTAAACCTCCCCTGGCACAGCCTATAGGGGGTTTGGGTTTTTTTGGGGGAGGAGTTCATGATTTATTCCAGTGCAGGAATCAATAATAAAGCAAACAAAAGCGATGTGGAAGAATTCTATTTAAATTATTCTTTTTAAAAACAGCCAGTGTATTTCCTCAAATTTTTTCAGTGTTATTTTATGATTTCCTTTATTGTCTCTAGTGGTCAAAAAGGTAGCTTTCTAAAGTGCTACCACTGTCCAAAGCCTAAATAATAATAATCATAGCAATAATAAATAGCATTAGGGTGGATTTACACACAGTCTGAGCCTGCGTTTTAATGACCTGGTGGGTTCTCTGACTGAGAGCATCATTCCTCTCAGATACACTAACACACCTAGCCACCTGTCTGCAGTGCAGCATAGTAAAACACACTGGGAAAATGATACAGCTGAATAAAAAACCTGCAAAAAAAGAGGGGGGAGAAAGGGGAATGGGAAGATAACTTTAACTCAGATCAGTTCACTGAGATGGGTCTTAACACGTTTCCAAACTAGTTTTGTTGGTCTACCTGGAAGGCCATCTTGCTGAAGCATGGGGCTGGGAATAACTGGGGCTAGGGGGAAAGAAACTCAATTGCTGCTGAAGCACCCAAATTGTAGAAGGATGTCGGTGGAGGCTGTTTTTTCCTACAGCACACTGCAAGGTCAGAATTCATAGTGGAATCTGATCCCATAAGTCAAATATAAATATCACCTTTCAGTTAGCTTGCCTGGCTTTTATCCACTGATGACTTATTTTTTCTGACAACTTCTTCTGAAAGATGATACACAGAATACTTGACTGCATAGCCTGTGTGTATATGTGCGTGTGTGTGTACAAATATAAACCCCTTGTTCCTGGAAAAACATGTCTTAATATAAATGGTGTTGAATTTGCACTCCTATTTAGAAAGTTAGGAAATTTGGGTGGAAGCTTCCTGGAAACTGTTACTTTGGTTATTGTAATGACTATTAAAATAACAATGCTAATTCCACATTGATTAAGACACCATGTTGATTAAAATATCCAGTTAATATTCCAATTAAGGCGGAATAACAGGAGATATTGCTGTAATTAAAAGCAACATGAAAATCCCATTATCTTGAAAACTGCCAGGAGCTCAGTACGTTTTAATATAGAGAAACTCGACTTTAAAATCTTCTTTCTTTCAGGTATTTAAATCTGTAGAATATTATAGCATCAAGGAATCAGGGAGGTGTCAGTTGGATGATTGGGTCCAGTTTGGTGAAGCCACTCCCAGAAAGATATGGCTGAGCTGCTGAGAGTCCAGAAACATCTCCCCAGAGCACATCCAGCCTGTACTGGAAGACATAAGCTGGTACTGAGTGGATGGTGACCTCTTGGAGAGCCCTCCAGCCCTGTGATACAATGAAAGAAGGTGAAGAAGATCATAAAATTAAAGTGACCTTCTCAGAGTTGCCTTCACTGAAGGGAAGTGCCATTTTTCAGAACCATCACATCTCGTATACAAAGAGCTTTTCTGTCTGAGTGCTTGGCGCATATAAGCATTTTAATCTTCAAAAGGTAAAGGGTTTTACAAACCTGAAATAATTAGTTATCTACACAACCCCATAGGTAAACACTATTATTTTCACCCTTAAGAAGTGGGGGAAAAAAAGACAGAGAAGTTAAATTAATCTAGTGTCCTGCATGTTGTTACAACACATGGGTCAGGTGGTCAGAAATTGGATGGCCATGAAAAGTAGAAATCCTGATAGCAATACAGCTGTATCATGTTGAAATAAAGCAACAATAAAAAACCTCCAAGAAAAATCCATCATATTTAGGCTTTCCAGTCAACTTTCAAATAGGTAAACAGTTAAAATGATAACTCATTTCCCTTTTGTGTTGCAGTTTGATGTTCTGCTTTAGCTGGTGTAATTGCAGGCTACCGATGCAAAGAACGGTCCTGCTCTGCCTCTTCCTTCCTCCCTCCTCCGCCTGGCCCAGCAGGTGCTTTTGTGGCATCAAAGCCAGAGACTGAGCAGTCGCAGGTGAGCAAGGTGATCAGACAAAGAAACCTAACATGCTATCCCAAAAAAGGAATACTTTTCCATTGCATCGGCTCACTGAACCACTCACTGAACCTGTGTCTAGACGATCGCTGAGTCTGATATAAGGCAGGAGAGAAGTAGGCAGGAGCTGGAGGAAAGCAAGGGCAGCATCTCTTGCTACAGTCACAGTGGTGGATTTGTTGGAGTGCTGAAGTACACTCCATAATGGGACTAATTAATTAATGATCTAGCCCATTTCTCCCAGGCTCCTGGAACATTTTTGTATTCTGAGGTGCAAGTCAGCAGTTTGCTAAAAGCACTGGTTTGCACAAGGGTCTGCCTATTCCAGACAAAAAGATCATCCATTCAATGCTGTCCTGAGGTGGGGTTTATGTCCCGGCTCAAGAGGAGTGCTCTGCTGCCTGTTGCAAAACCAAATCTGTTTTGTGCCATGGAGTTGACCGCTGCCTCAATCATAGTGATGCAAAGTTTGGTTATAGCACACAGGTCCTCTGTGCATGCACCCGTGTGACTTCTGGGAGCCTGAATCGTCCAGGAGGCTGTTACTGGCGCTTGCCCTGGCTGGGTGAGCTCCCTCAGAAACTGGTGGCAAAGACAGGTTCAGTGCAGCAAGGGGTGCTATGGGCTGTGGAGCACATTTACTTGGCAGGTGGAAAGGTGTTTCCAATGCACCGCAGACCATTACTGCCTGGCAGGAGCTGGTGAGCTGAGGGCACCCATAAGTTGTTCCTGTGCTTTATCAACTGCTAAACTGAGACTGAACAAGGTAAGCTCCCACTCAAATCCCAACACTTATCTATTTATTGCTATGTACTGCTGCCTGCAGACCACAAGAAATCTCCCAGTACTATATCAAGTATGCTCCTATGTGAGAAAGAATGAAAAAACAAAGGATATTTGCAATTATAAGTGCTTAGCAGACATCCTTTTCATCATTACTACCTATAACTCAGCTGAAGTCCTGTCTAGTTTTAAAACAGGGCTGCATAGGATGAATACACATATGCAGCTGTGTGGTGTGACCTCAAAGTCAAATGCCAGTTAAACTCTGTGCATACCAAAGAACCATGTGCGTATGCCAAATATTCGTTATTGCTTTTCCACCCTGAGATTTGAAAAAAAACAC